TCTATCCCCAGTAGGGGGCGTGCAGGAGTCAGCCAATCAGTGATTCCCTCTCATCATTGATGTTTCTGTCTCTCCCTCTCTGAAATCAATAAAAAATACATATTTTAAAAAGTCATTTCTCCTGTATATCCTGCCTGTTTTAAACTCTGAAATGATGGACAAAACACTAACCTTGATCTGTTTGCTTGTTTAGTCTAATTTACATTTACAAAGAGAAATGTTGTTGTGTTGGCTTAGCTGGTTAAGCAGTGAACATTGCCATTATTATTTTAATAAAAAGATAAGGTGTTCCTGTATATCCTGCCTGTTTTAAACTCTGAAATGATGGGCAAAACACTAACCTTGATCTGTTTGCTTGTTAGTTTAATTTACATTTACAAAGAGAAACGTTGTGTTGGCTTAGGTGGTTAAGCAGTGAACATTGCCATTATATTTTAATAAAAAAATAAGGTGTCGGTGTCTGTCATGGCCCTGCACTGTCTCAGGCCATGTTCTCTGTGATCAAAGGTATTAAAGTGATCAGAGTTCTCTAGTGTAACAAATATTCCAGAAATGTGTCACTTTTCACAGTCATCTGCCTCCTCCTTTCCCCATCCTTTTTCACTGCAGCCTCTGCCTTTGCTGCATAGTCCAGATAGAGGAATGCATATAGTAATAATTATATATATAACATTGACAATATAGTCAACACGAATAATAAGCCTAAGGAGACAAGGTAAGAAATGGCAAGATAGTCAGACCTTTTAAATATAAACTTTAACCTGAATAATGTTTACCCTCCTTGGCAAAGCATACTCATTGACAGAAATATTTAAACATATCCCCATTTAATGTGGATGCTTGTTGTCACTGTATATCACAGCCATCTTAAATATGTAGGTGAAGTGTGCCACGGAAGAGTCGTAGGGGCCACCCCAGTGAACTAGTTCCTTTGCAGACAAATGCTCACTTTAAGATCCTTTGAAGAGTGTGGACACTTGATTCTGGCTGGTGCACACATAGGTTACGCTATTCACATAGCCGCTCCCATGTGTGGTTTTCAAATGACAACCAACTGCTTTTGCAATACTGGAATTACTTAGCAGCTGTAACATTTTATAGTCGTTAGGGATGAGTAAATGCTATGTCATGATGGTTTAGTTCCCCTATTCCCTCCAGCCCCCCTAAAGATAAAACACGATGATCTATTTGTTTTTCAGAAATAATAGAGTGGTTCTTTTATCCTGTTGTTTTTAGTTCATTTCTAAAGCTGGCTTTCTCTGGCATACTTGTATTTAATTGATATGAATTCTTGCATTTCAGACCTTCATGGAGGAAATGACCAGAAAACAGCCTGATGTGGACAAAGTTACCAAGACCTACAAGAGGAGAGCAGCTGATCCTTCCTCGTTGCAGTCCCACATTCCCGTCTTGGATAAGGGGCGAGCAGGAAGTAAGCCGTGGCCAAGTTCTTTAAAATGAGGATGGTGAAGCAAGGAAGTTGGCTTTCTTTTGTTTTGGTTTCTTATTTGAAGTTTTAGAGCAATTGGTGATTCTACATGAGCTCTCTATTCTAAAAGGTTTTCTTGAAAGAATACATGGGCTCAAATTTCATAGCCACTCATTTTAAAATAAAGAAAAAGACACGTCCAGGTCAGAATGTACAAGTTCATTGGCTTGAAGTCTATCTTTTCAATTAGCTAGAAGAAACTGGAAAGTTTGCAAGAAAAACAGAAATCATCAGCCCCTCTGAATTGTCTCGTTTTGCTTCTGTTATAGAAATAACCTTAGAGTGGAATGGAACAGAAATGGCCGTGACCTGGATAAAGTTCCTGACTTATCTGTTCAGTAGTGACCAGCAATCTGATAGATTTTGCCCACGTTTGTATGACTGTAGGCTACCTTGACCCAATGAAGTAACATTTAAAAAAAATAATAGCTAGCTTGGAGAATATTTTTAAAAAGCACAATTTATATCATCCATGTGTATATTTCTGAATGGTGCTATGATTTAAAAAAAAATGGTTTCAGATCTATTGTAGTTACTGTGTTGCACAAGGAGGCAAAGCAACAAAGTGGTTAAGAACTCTGGAGACAGACTCCTTAGCTGTCCTCATCACTCAGCAACTGGGAAATGTCACCTTCGACAAGTTACTGAGTTCTCTCTGTTAGCCTCAGTGTTCTCATCTGTAAAAGGGGATACTTATAACCTCATTGGACTGTGGTGAGGATTAAAAGAGCTAATGTTCCTGAAGTGCTTAGCATACTTTCTGGCAGATAGTTAAATGCTCCATAAATATTAGCTATTGATATTCTGACATGTGTAAAGCCTTATGGGAGTTAGGAATTCTGGGCAAATCCCAGATGGACAGCAACTTCCTATATGACCTGAAGCCACAGTAATTTTTCTAAGCCACAGTTAACTATTTAGTGAGGAAAATGTGTTGAGACAATTGTTCTGTGAAGTTGTAGACATTGGTGAAAAATAGCCAGAAAGAGGGAGAAAACTGTAGTGAGGCAGCAAGTTGTGTGTGAGACCACATGGGAAACACAGTGTCAGTGGGAAACGGACTTGGGTGAAAGCTAGTGTCCTACTTCCACATTGGATTGGAATTGTTCAGTATCTCGCTCTGACTCTAATGGGTGCCCAGTATCTCTTGCCCTCATTTGCCCTCACCTGTCCTGCTTTCAGCCTTATTCTCTGCGAAGGGCAACTAGGTTTATGTAACTGATTCTGACTATTCTCACTACCCTGGGAGATTTCTGTTATCATGCCTTAACAAAGAGATGCCTAAACAAAGAGAAGGGTCACAGCATACTTCATTCTCATTGAAATGGCATGAGTTTGAAGCTCAAAACTGTCCTTAAGCATACATTTATTGAGAGAGCTTTCCAGTACTTAAATGCACCTGCCATTGATATTAGGCATCATCTAAACAGGGTATTTCTCGCTGTGCTACCCAAGAATGAAGTTGATTCAGCCTTAGCTAGGAACAAATAAAGGCCAAACCTTATCCTATTTCAGAAGCCCGGAAACTGCCGTCCTAACTCAAGTTTTATTTTAACAGGAAAACGCTTCCCAGCCTCCAGCTTATATCCCTCTGGGTCACAGACACAAATTGAAACCAAGAATCCCAGGGTCAACTTACTGGTGAGCAAATGGCAGCAAGTCTGGCTCCTCGCATTGGAAAGGAGGAGGAAGCTTAATGACGCCTTGGACAGACTAGAGGAGGTGAGAACCTCGCATGTATATTCCGCACTATATTGTCATTTGCTCTGTTTACTGGGACACATTGACAACGTCTTGATTTTTCAACTTTCCTGATAATACTTAAGCAAACTCTTGCTATTTGAGTGTGTATTTTACTTCTAAAATTAATACCACAAGTATGTACATTTATGTTGGGGGGGAAATGTGATCTATGGAACTGGGATTTAGGGAAGCAAAAAAGTGAAAAAATAATATGTTTCAACATAATCAGAAACTGACTCAAGAAAAGATCTAGCCCTGACTGGGTGGCTCCGTTGGTTGGAGCATCGCCCCCTGCACCAAAAGGTTGCAGGTTCGATCGCTACGGGAGGCAACTCATCAATGGTGAGGATTTTAAAAAACCCCACACAAGATCTAGCTTGACATAGGTTGGCTTGGTGGTATTAACTAGCAAATATAACCATTTATAATTCAGATATTTTCCTTATATTCATTCTTTGATCTGAGAGTTAGGGTTTCAGATTGTGAAACTGCGCCATTGTTAGCAGTCTAGGGGAGTGCCAAATGCAGACAGTGAGTTGTGCTGCTGAGCTGGGCCTGCTGCCCAGTGGGCACAGAACTTACCCGTGGCGTGACTTTGGCACTGTCAGGAATTTTCAGTTTGACTTTTTTTGGGAGTTTGATTTTCCCCTGTATTTGTAAAGAAAAGCCAGAATGACGACAGTGACAGTAATACACTTTACAGAAAAAATTTTTTTTCTGTGTCTCCTTTGTAAGGTTATACCTTTCTTTGAAGTGGGAAAGATACCTGTATTACCTAGAGGCTCATTAAAAATAACTTTCTTCATATAAGCTATAGCTTGAGCACAGCATTAACCCCACCAAAATATCTTCTGCCCTTTTCAGCTGAGGGAATTTGCCAACTTTGATTTTGATATCTGGCGCAAAAAATACATGCGATGGATGAACCACAAGAAATCTCGGGTGATGGACTTCTTCAGGAGAATTGATAAAGACCAGGATGGGAAAATAACCCGACAAGAATTTATTGATGGCATTCTTTCCTCAAGTAAGTCCCAAGAGAAGTGACTGAATGGATGTAATTTTTAAAGAAAACAAGCACAGTTTAAAATTGTGGGGCCAGTGAGAATTGATAAAGACCAGGATGGGAAAATAACCCGACAAGAATTTATTGATGGCATTCTTTCCTCAAGTAAGTCCCAAGAGAAGTGACTGAAATGGATGTAATTTTTAAAGAAAACAAGCACAGTTTAAAATTGTGGGGCCAGTAAACTCGTGTTACCGATAAAGCTTCGCCTTTAAACTTGGCTATGAAGTCACCACTCTCAAAATAAAAGTGTCTTTGGTAAAAATTTATGGCTTTGGAGTCACACACCCTTAACTAATTGTGTTTGCTCACACCACTGAAGCTGTGTCCTCATTAGTATAATAAAGTTAATAAAATAGGATTCTTAGATTGTTTGTGTTGCCTGGCATAATGGAAATCAGCAAGCCAGTCTCTTCCTTTTCTTTCTGATTGACATTCTGAGCTAACATTATCACTAGTAGGAATTAGAACTCTTTCATGTAAACGTCGGAAGGTACATATCATCCTCTTGTTTGATGGTCCGGTCATGTGTATGTGATAGCTCTGGCACATATTACTGGAAGTCATTCTTAAAGTAAATTTCATATAAATTATTCCTTAAGGAAAGTGGTAGTTGAAACATTTGAAATTTGCTAATATTAAATAGTTATCAACCTAGAAAAATAACAATTTCAAATGATTCACCCTAGTAGTAATTAAAGATAAATTTAGATCATATATATATGTGTGTGTGTGTGTGTGTGTGTGTGTGTGTGTGTAGTGATTTAATTTGTTATTATATAAATCAATTTTTTAAAAATATTTTAATATATTTTATGACCCTGATAATTTAATCAACCACATTAAAATTAAAATGTACAACTGAGAATGTCTTAAGGTGGAATTAAGTTACACTACCTACTACTTTTTTTTAAAGACTGAAGTCTTTTTATAAAATGTTATAGTAAGTAGCAGGTCTTATAAAGTTTAATTGGGAATATTGTGTGGCTTATCCTGAGAGTATCTTAACTATCACTTGTATGTGGAATCTAAATAAAGAGTCAAACTCATAGAAACAGAAAAGAGTGGTTGGCAGGTTCTGGGGGAATGGGAAGAGGTTGGTAAAAGGGTGCAAACTTTCAGCTCTAAAATGAATAAGGCCTGAGGACCTCCTGTGTGACATGGTGACTATAGTTGATCACACTGTATTGTATAATTGAGAGTGGTCCTTCAATGCTCTCTCACACACACATAAAAGGTAAATACATATGTGAGGCAATAGATATGTTAATGAACTAGATAGAGGAATTCTTTCCCTGCTATATACAAATATCAAATGATCACAATGTGCATTGTAAATATCTTACAACCTTGTCAAGTAAGTAACACTACTTGCTGTTGTTTTGAAAATACGTAGAGTTCCCTACCAGCCGCCTGGAGATGAGCGCGGTGGCAGACATCTTCGACAGAGACGGCGATGGCTACATTGACTACTATGAGTTTGTGGCTGCCCTTCACCCAAATAAGGATGCATACAAACCCGTCACCGATGCTGACAAAATCGAAGATGAGGTACTCACTATCTTTCCACCGCTTGCAGCAGCATGACTGCACCGTGTGTTCTGCCAGATCTCGTGCACAACTCATGCAGCCCTTTTATTTATTTCCATGTTTAGCAGTTGGTCAGGGTATTAAGAATTCATTGTGTAATAATAACATTAAAGTGGATATCTCATTATTGTTTTTGGCAGGTGACGAGGGAGGTAGCTAAGTGTAAATGTGCAAAACGATTTCAAGTTGAACAGATTGGAGACAACAAATACAGGGTAAGTTTTCAAAGTAACTTTGTAGTTCTTTTAAAGCATAAAACTCAAAATTTGTTTGTAATTTGATCTGCATTGTTTTCTAGGAGTGCTAATTGTTTATTTTTACCTCATATAAAAATTGAATGGTGTATGACTTTCTAACGCTCATCATTTTAAATTACATAAAAATAGCGTGCATTTTCTATATAAGGACATACCTTTAACATGTACAACATGTACATTCCCTTTAAGAAGAAAAATATTTGCAGAAAAACACATTACTTCTATTTATATTGCTTCATATGATTTTACTAAAGGCCCAGTGCATGGATTCGTGCACCCGTGGGGTCTCTTGGTGTGGCCTGTGGGGATTGAGCCAAAACCAGCAGTCCAACATCCCCCGAGGGATGTAGTAGTGTGCAAAGCGGCAGGCGGCTGGGGAGGAGCCCGAGCCTAGGCCCGGTGCCACACCGCTCCTGCTCATCCCGGCCCCACTGCGCCTGCCGCCACCTCCGCTCAGTAGGCTCGCTGCCGCTCCACTGTGGTCTCTGCACACCCGTCCTAGGGCAATGCTGGTGCGCCCATGACCGAGAAGCAGCTGTGGGCTCGCGCCCATTCATTCCCGATCCCGGTCCTAGTCTGGATGGGGGAGGGGCGCGCAGGGGAAGTGTCCGTGGGAGAGGCTCACATGGCTGCAGCTGCACTCGCCAGCCATGAGCCCGGCGTCTGGCACCTGTTGGTCAGCTGAGCGGTGCTCCCGCTGTGGGATCTCATTGACCACCAGGGGGCAGCTCCTGCGTTGAGCGTCTGCCCCCTGGTGGTCATTGCGCATCATAGCGACCGGTGGAATGGTTGCTTAGGCTTCTATATATATAAATAACCTATTTTATATGATTACAGGTAAGTTTTCATCTTTTCAATAATAAAGCTATTCCAGGCCAGAACAACAAAATTAAAAATGTTGTCTAATTTTTATAAAATGAAAAAGAGGCAATGTTTTCCACTTGTACGGTAGTATCCCCTTTTATTCAGAATCTCAATAACTTGGTTCACCTTCCTCAAAACAATTACTTGAAGACCAATGTGACTTCATCACTCTTTCTCATTTTTGGAACGTCTCTGATATGTAGTAGCTAGATAGAAAATGTGCCAGGTATCCCCTAATACAGTATATTACTTACAAATGAAACATTATTCATTTTTATTTTTATATTTACATATTGAAAAATATTCATCTAAGTATTTGAATTTTTAGTTTAAATTTGAAACCCAAAGATTTTCAGAAAATTTACATAGGGGATTTTCTGATTATTGGGTTTGAAGTTGGATACCTGCACATCTCTAAACTAGATGCTATATCCAGAAGCCCTGAGTGTGAGAGTGTGTGTATTCTAGAGCCATATAGAAAGTTTCCTGTTGAACTAATTATATCTTTCTTCCATTTTTTATTTTTTTATCAGTTCTTCCTGGGAAATCAGGTATAATTCAGTGGAATGTATTCGCAAGTTCCCAATGATTTTTTTAAACTTTAATTCATAGTCATTAAAGCTTGCCATGGCCAATCTTTCCCATGCTGCCCCCCTAGCTACTACATTGTTGGTTGGCGTGGTGGTTCTGTAAATGCTATAAGGGTCCTTGATCCAGGATCCCTTTTTGCCTTGTGTCTCAAATGAGGAGATTACTTTTAAGCAAACCAGATAATGAATTGTGGCTTGGCTGGTTACAGTGTTACAAATGCCATTTTCAGTTCCCATTGTTGATAATACTATTAGCACAGGGTTTATGCCAGTACTCATGGAACACACATCCCTACATAGCTTTGTTGGTGTTTACCACTGAGGATGTGTGATACACAGTGGCTAGAGAAGGATCAGCATCAGGCAGAGACACAAAGACAGGGTATGGAGAGGCCTCAGTGACACTCAGCCACAAATAATGTGTCCTCTCCAAAGCAAATATTGTCCATTTGTCCTAAATCAATTTATAACTTTGCATCCTGTGGGTAGAAATTTTAACCCTGGAGGTTTTGAATGTTGTAATTCCTTTTGAGAAAATGTATCTCTTGTAACTTACAAAATGTTAGTCACATTTTATGCCATTTTGACCTCACATTTAAGTCAGCACATAAACTGTGTGGTGGTACTGCACATAAGAATTTTAGAACTAAAGACAAGAGCAATCATGTTTTGATTTAAACAAGGAGGATCTTTTTTTACTATGTGCTTTTGGAAAGAGCAGTGCTATTTATAGTACCTGACCATATCATATTAGTTATTATTCTGCCTCGCAGTTTTAAGCCCATATTACATCTTAAACTTCAAATTATCTACGATCCCCACTTATTCAATCACATAATCATTTCAAATAGAAATGTTTAGTTCATTTGAATAGAGGTTTTTAAAACTTCTATATGTTATAATACATAAAAATTTAGTTTCTATTCTTGTTATTTGGAGTAGCAATTAAGATAGCATCATTTATTTGCAGTAAGGATTAAATACCTCAAAAGGTTTTCTTTCGTTGAAAGCACAAAGAACAGCATTAGTCTATTTTTTCTTGTCTCATAATTTGGCTCTTGGGAGAATTAAGGAAATTCTGAAGACAATGTTAGATAATGTCTTCTCAAATTAAAATTTAAAATCATCTGTTTATTAAAATTGAAATTTCACACATGTAAAGTACTTCAGTCAGTTCCTTAAAACTTTTGTTTTGAATGTAGTCCTGGACCAAAAATGTCTGGTCTAATTATCTGGTTACTTAAGGGTAATTTTCTTTCAATCCCCTCCTTTCCCTTTGCTTATCAGCAGCACCAAATTTTTTTTCTAACAAAATAAGTATATATATATTTTTTATTTTTTACACTTCAAGTACATTGTAGGAATAGGTTCAATGATAGAAAAGTTAAATCTCAAGGCTTAAAAATTGACTTAGAATTTGCAATATAAAAAGGGTTGATGTAAAGCGCATGAGTTTCTGCCGGTGCATTTTACATGCCTCTGAGGTCCTTCTGAGTTTCAGGGTCTTGAATGGTTGGCTTTGTTTTAGGGTTCACTTCCTGAAACTCAGTGGTTCAGCATATTGAAGGGTAGCAGATTGTTTCTACTTAAAATTTTCTGTTTATCCATCATGAGCCTAGGCAAATAGTCAAAGTCGCAATTGTATTCTACCTGCCTTAAAAAAAAAAAAAAGCTATGTATGTTTAATTGACTGTTCATTTTGCTATGGTATCTGCTGGGTTGGCAGCCGTGAAATTCAATATGGTGCTTTTTATAAGTTGGATATGAGCCTATTAGAAATGATTTAAAAGTATAAAATTATTTCTCATGGGCTTTCAAAACAAATCAACCTTGTGATCAGAAACTACGTGTAGTCTAGACATGTATTCAGGACTTGCAGAATTTATAGCATATCCAAGTGATTGGAGATCCGTGGAAAGGGCAAGACAAAGATGACTGCTTATTACAGTCAGCAGTTATGGTACAAACAGTTTGAAGAGAAAGTCTTTTAGATTTGAAAGCTGTATCATTAATGTGCCAGTGACTGTTCTAATGTTACAGTAATATAAAATGGCACATTCGCCCAGTCTTTAACAAATGGGTTTACCAGGTTATTAGCGATGCAGAAATTTTATTTGACTGTGAGATATTTATTGGTTATGTTCATTTACTACTTTATCACCTTATGAGTTTATGAAGATTTCTCCCACAGATTTCAATGGCAAAGTTTTAGTGTAAGAGGAGGTTTTAATGAAGAAGAATCAGAGTTTACTACATCTTCTTTAGAATCATCTTGCTTTGTATAAATCCTGGGCAAGTGGGCCCATGCTTATTTTCATGGCTGTTTGATTTCTAGAAACATGTTTCAATCACCACTTTACTAATGTATCTGTCATAAGAAAGAAAAATCATTTTTAGAAGAAATCTTCCATATTCTACTTGATAACCTTTGTTATCTTTTTTTCAAACTATTTCCTTTGGGCTAAATCAGCATGCAGCAGCCTAACGCAGATCATTACACACGCCTTTTTCTGAGATTTTACTAATCGCTGTGAACTAAGCAAAACGTTAAAGTTGGTTGCTTACGCTACTGCAGATCACACGCTACCCGTTAGTGTAGAACGAGTAGTGACAATTAGAGGGTCTTCTTTCTTCATCTTCACAGTTTGGAGACTCCCAGCAGCTGCGACTGGTCCGAATCCTGCGAAGTACCGTGATGGTTCGCGTCGGAGGCGGGTGGATGGCACTGGATGAGTTCTTGGTGAAAAACGATCCTTGCAGGGGTAAGGAGATACCTTTGTTGAGATAATACCACCATAAAAGGATGTCGATTTTATATTCGTTTCTAGCAACAAAAACATGCTCGGGTATAATTTTGGTCATTTATTTACAATAGTGCTTCACATTGGTCTGTCAGCCTGAAGTGTCCAGAGAACTTGTGGCAGTCGTTAAACCATGCTCTTCTCGTTGCTTTTTGAACTCTCTGGATAAACATGGGACTGGAGGCAAGAAATACTAGATTTCCTTTCTGAGATGATCCCATCTGCAATTTTCAAAATGAGCAATTGCACCAACCAGGGGAAGGAATTCATCTCTCATTAAATAACAAAATAGGAGGGGAAAGAAATTGAGGTGATGGATACTGAAGATACTGGCTAGTGAAAGTTTAAACGTGAAATTTTTTATGCAATGGTGGAGATGAGGAAAGCAGTACTTAAAGATTAAAAAAGCAAGAACTGATAACCCGACTCTGACTTTGAAGTGGCAGAACATTAAAAATATAGACATAAACTATAGCTCTCGCCATGTCTGCCAGCCTAAGAGCCCTTGATCAGCTTTTAATTTTTCTTATTTTTCAGATCCTGTTGTCAATTTTGGAATCCCTTATTGATTCACCTTACAAGTGGTCATTTGATTACCGTTTCTAGTTAGCTCCCATGGACTCATCAGTAGGCCCATTTTTCTTTGAAAAAGACAAAAAAGACTTTTGTGCTTTTCTTGAACCCATTTTAATCCCTTTAAACAAACAAGAACAAATGTTGGTGCCGGCACTATCAGGCTACCAGGTGGGAGGTCATGGTTCCCCCAGTGGGCTCTTGGTTACCTTGCTGCCACTGAAGACACAGGTGTGGTGGGTGAGTTCCTCTGTGGTCAGCAGGCCTCTCTGTCAAGGCCACCGTAGGATGATCACACAGCCATACCTAGGAGCTCTGCTGTCTGCAAGTCAAAAGGTGTAAAATCACACAATTTCCCTTTTTGTTTCGTATTTTGAAAACAATGCAGCCTAAGGTAATGTAGTTCCTTTTATGAAACAAAGAGATTAGAACGTGCGGTGTTCTATTGGGTTGCTTAGGAAAGTTGGTGTGACTGTGCAAAGTCTTCTAAATACATTTTTCTTATTGAGTCAAACCTTTGAGTGCTTTTCCTGATGCAGCTTTTCTCCTAAATGTGTGCCAAAGGCCGGACCTGAGCACCCCTTTGCATATTCAACTACTGACTGTACTTTGTTTCTTTTCCTGCTAACAGTATTCTTTAATGTGATTGATCTCCTGTGTCATTTTTTCTAGTTCATCATCATGGGACTAAAATGTTACGTTCGGAATCAAACTCTTCAATTACTACTACTCAGCCTACTATAGGTTGGCAACCCCTCTCTTTGCCTCTCCCCTCTTACCTTTTTTCTTCCCTACTTTTACATTCCTGCTTTAATTATTTGTTTTAAAATAACACGCTTCATCCATTGCGTATGGCTTACGTCATATCCAACTGAGCTGGTGCTTCCAAACGTACAGTCTGAACGTTGCACACACTTGCAGTGTGTTGCAAGCGTAGGTGATGTGTAAGTGATCAAGCACATGCTAACACGCTGCATCGGGTTCTCGTGGAGTGTTCTCCGTGCGCACATGTGTTCATATGAGTGTGGCATCACTGATGACCTCCCGGATCCCTGGGTCTGGTGTTTGTTATTGCATGTTGGTAAAAGAGAGCTTTTCAAAGCATAAAATAAAAATACTAGCTGCCTCATTCCAGTGAAAAAAACTGAGAGTTTCAATGTTGTCATCATGATTAACAAGCCATCTGTCCTTCTTTGTAACTCTATTGTTGGATTAATCCCAAAGTTAAAATACTGGCATTCTCCTTACCTCAGCAGTACATGCAAAAGGCACAGTCCCTGCTTGACTGGCTTGTCCTCTCAGTGTGCGGAAAGGGTCATGAACCCATGTGGGCATCAGTAGCTGGTGGATTAACAATATTTTAGCATGAGCTTTCCATTTTCATGCTGACTCTTTCTTTGATAGTGGTTATTCTGGCTGGTGTCTGGTGTTAGAATAAACACACTTTTTCTTTTCTTTCCCAAACTGACTTGTCTCCAAAAGGAATGCATTGTAACGGAATGCATTCGCCTTTTTGTTATGCTGAGTTGGAGTTGGCATGGAAAAAGATGTTCTCAAATCCTCAGCGTAATCGGTGGCGCCAGGTGGTCGTTCTTCCCATAAATGATTGAGCGCCTCTTGTTTTCCTTCCTCTTCTGTTTTGTGTGCCTCGTTGTGTGTTATGCGATCCAGCGAAAGGAAGGACGAACATGGAACTTCGGGAGAAGTTCATTTTAGCAGACGGTGCCAGTCAGGGTATGGCTGCTTTCCGACCCCGCGGCCGAAGATCGCGGCCTTCATCGCGTGGAGCTTCCCCCAACCGATCAACATCTGTGTCCAGTCCGGCTGTCCAGGCGGCCTCCCCGCAGGTCCATGCCACCAGCACACCCAAGGTAGGACTCGGCTGGGAAATGTATTCCTCCTCCCATGCAGTCAGTGTCTTGAGTATACTTCTGAATGTTGTAGGACCCTAGAATCTGTGAGCTTTCTCCATTATGTCCCTTCTCACAAGATGGCAAATGAAGGATGATTCTTATTTTTTTAAATATATGCTTTTGCCCTGTGGCCCCTGTAGAGACTGGGAGCTGCTTTTGTTACCTTTCAGATTGGTTTTTCTTTGTGAAGCTTCATTCATTTTTTTGGTTGTGTATGATTTGCCATCAGATCTTTCCACGTATTTTTAATTATTATTGTTCTTACTGTGAAATGTGAGTCTTTGCTATGAGTATCTCTTTCTGTGGCTTTGTGTTTTACCTGCTATCCTTTACGTTTGATTTGCCATTGTTCCATACAGATCCTCCATCCTTTAACACGCAATTATGGTAAACCATGGTTGACAAACAGCAAAATGTCAACTCCTTGTAAGACAGCAGAGTGCTCAGACTTTTCCGTGCCATCTGCAGAGGTATCGTAAGGCCCCAGATTTCAGTCTAACAGCCTTTCATTGAAACTGTCACCCACTAACATTGCTTTAACTCTCCCTTCATATATGTACTTTTGATACTGCTATGTCTTTTTTAAAAAATATATTTTTATTGCTTTCAGAGAGGAAGCGAGAGGGAGAGAGAGATAGAAACATCAATGATGAGAGAGTATCATTGATCGGCTGCCTCCTGCACGCCCCCTATTGGGGATCGAGCCCGCAACCCGAGCATATGCCCTTGACTGGAATTGAACCCGGGACTTTCCAGTTCCCAGTCCAATGCTCTATCCACTGAGCCAAACCAGCTAGGGCACTGCTATGTCTTTTTAATAGACTTGTATAAAATAAATATCAACCCACCAGTTCTTGGAAGATATGAAAGTAAAGGGTTAACAGAAAAGACAGATTTTAGATTTTTCTCCTTGTATAATGTCAGTTTAACATAGCCATACCTGCAGATTCTGTACCTTATACTTAATTTTAATTTTCTCTCTTGGGAGAGTGAAGTACAAGAGATTATATCCAGACTTAAGTAAAGTTTCTTTTAAAGCTGATGGTATGCTTTTGCTTCTAGAGATAAGAAATGCAACCAATCCCCTTTAGGTGAGAGTGAGAGGCAGTGTCATATGCAAGAGAAATCACTTAACTAAAATAATTTTCATTGAGTGTTCACTATAGGCAAGGTCTTTTTGAATGTCTGTTACACTTATTTCTGCCCCAAAACACTGGGTGGGTGAGACATAAGAGCAGGGGCTTAGTCATGCAAACAATTATGTATCATTTACCAAAGGTACATATCTTTATTGGACTTCAATGGCTATTATTATTCAAGCAAGCTCTAGCTTTTTTAATATGGCATGATATATGGGGATACAATATTTAGGTGATATAAAATTTGCCAAGATTAACACATAGATCCTTTACATTCAAGTGAAAGTCAACCATATATCTTTTAAAGAAACTTCTCTGTAAAATGACCAACATAGGCACCAAATAAGCACATGTTTGATTAGAAAAAAACCACAATCATTAGGGGGAGAAAATCTATTCGAATAAAAGGGTAATATGCTAATTAGGCCAGATAGATTGGTCATCTTCTGGACGTCCTTCTGGACAAAGCTACAGTGGCAGGGGCCGAGGCAGATAGGGATAATCAGGCCGGCAGGGGAGCAGTTAGGGGACAGTCAGGTCGGCAAGGCAAGTAATATGCTAATTAGGCCAGATAGATTGGTCATCTTCCGGACGTCCTTCTGGACAAAGCTACAGTGGCGGGGGCCTAGGCAGAGGCGGTTAGGGAAATCAGGCTGGCAGGGGAGAGCAGTTCAGGATTGCGCAGTTAGGGCAGTGAGGCTGGTAGGGGAGAGCAGTTAGGGGCGATCAGGCAGGTAGGCAGGTGAGCGGTTAGGAGCCAGCAATCCCGGATTGTGAGAAGGATGTCCAACTGCCGGTTTCAGACATCCCCCCAAGGGGTCCCAGATTGGAGAGGGTGCAGGCCAAGCTGAGGGATTCCTCCCCACCCTCCTCCCCGTTCACGAATTTCGTGCACCGGAACTCTAGTCCCTAAATAACGTCTTTTGAGTTGAAGGAAGTATTTCAGGTTAAAGGCCAGAATCCAAGTATGAAAGTGATATGCTTTAGAAAGCCCTTTATGCTTTTGATAACACTTTCTGATCTATTATTTAATTCTCACATCAGTAATAAAACATAGGCAGGGAAACTGTTGTTTCCCTCATGCCTCAGATGGAAATGATGGAAATAACATTAATTATAGGGATAGAAATGGGGCAGAAACAACTCATTCTTCAACTCCTCCTCATTCCCCAGCCCCTCATTTGCACCCCTCCCCCTAAGTGAGAAGCAGTAGTATTATAACATCTAGAGGTGTCTGTCACTCATGATGGATCTATTGTAGCAAAAACTGAGACCAGTTCAAGAAACCTCAAGCAACATGTTTGCTTTAAATATTTCGAGCTGCAATGTTAGTTCAAAATTTTAAAAAGTAGAGACTCCTCAAATCAAAGTCTAAGCATGCTAATTTTGACTAAAAGAAAACTATATTTATTTCAAGTAGGGTCATCAGATAAAAAACAACAAGCAAACAGACAAAACAACAGTGTACCTTTATAGAAGGGCTTTAAAGGTAGGGTTTAGAACAATTCAAAACAACCAAGGCATTCTGAGAATAACGCTTTGGGTCTTCCTTGGTAATGAATTCTGCTACCTTGAGTGATATATTTTATAATTGTGGGTCCTTACTCTTTTATGGATAATTGAGATATTCTTAGTTAGGAATTTAACTAGATCAGAGATGTCAGATCTTGGGCAAATCACTTCCCTCCTCAGGCCCTCATTTTTCACATTTGTAAAAAAAAAAATTGTGATTAGATGAGTGGGAAAATTAATTGTGGTTATACGTCTGAAAATATTTTGAAAACTTAAGTATTATATGTATAGAAGTCATATATAAATTCTATACATATATATATGCATAGAATACATATGTAAAATATATGTATAGAATATATATGTATGGATACATATGTAAATGAATTACAAATATTACGTTAATATTACAGATTTGTAACCCTGGTGTATCAAAAGGTCTTACATATGCTTTATTAAACATTTATAACTATTTAATAAAGAAACAGTTCATTTTTTTAATGCACACATAATTTGTATTAATTTCTTTCAAATAGCTCCCTTTGAGTTCATCAAGGAATATGGCAATCCCTACACTTCTCAGGAAATTGGTGTATTTATTTTTTTTAACTTTCAGAGAATTTTCAAAATGTTGTAGTGATCTATAAGAAATACAGTTGTTTTAGGCTTATGATAAAATTTCAGAGTTATTGCTTTAGACAATCTTTGTGAACTCCTATGAGAATTTTAAAAGAATTATCCCCAAACGTTGCCTAAGTACTTTGTATATAAGGACCACAGAAGGTCATGGAGCCAGAAAATGAAGTAGCATTTTACCAAGTTCTAAAACGTCACTTTTTTTTCCAGTTAATTTGCTTAAGTGATGGCTATCTCGGCTTTACTTGTTTACTTATTGTTCTATTTCTGTTGGTTTATTTCTGCCTAGTTTCCCAAAAGTGTTGGCTGTAGCAGAGTATCCAAGCACAATTTTTCAGCCCCATCTCCTCTCTGTACCATGCAGTCAGCATCGATTCATCAGTATTTCTTAATTCCATACTATTTACTGACAGACTGGAAGATACTAACGTACTCACAGTTTAGTTTGTCTTTTTTCCCCTTGCCATCATTTGGGGGTCTCCATTTTTGTGTTTCTTCTTCAACATGAATTCCTTGTCTTTGGAAGGTTCCCTTTGAATTCAGGGAGAGAATAAGAAATTAGTGGAGACAAGCAAGTGAGAACCCCATGCCTCGCTGAAGAGGTCTAGCAGAGGGTTTGCAGCCATCTTTAAAGTGTTGTCGGTGATGAACTCGAGCAGTATCTTGAAATGTGCTTTCACTGATTGAATACAGGGAACACCAATACAAGGAAGCAAGCTTCGACTTCCAGGATATTTATCAGGGAAAGGCTTCCACTCTGGGGACGACAGTGGCTTGATAACAACTGCAGCCGCCAGAGTCCGAACACAGTTTGCTGGTGAGTGTGGTGCATGCCTTTTTTTTTTTTTTAATCCTCACCAAAGGATATTTTTTCCATTGATTTTTTTTAGTGTGTGTGGAAGGGAGGAAGGGAGGATGGAGAGAAAGAAAGAGACAGAGATGAGTGAGAGAGACACATGGATTGGTTGCCTCCCACACATGCCCTGACCAGGGCCTGGGATCCAACCCACAACTCAGGTATGTGCCCTTGACCTGCAATCGAACCAGAGACGCTTCAGTGCACAGGCTGACGTACTAACAACTGAGCCCCACCGGCCAGGGCGCATGTCTTGCTTTAGTGGCTTTTGAAGTACACTCTGAAGATGGAAGTCCCCTGTCCTCATTAGGAAGAAATTATGAATTGATGATGCTGTGTTCTTTTGAAATGACACGTAGCCCCAGTCCTCCGACAAAGGTAGGGGATACATGAGTCATGGGAGTAGGTGACTAGAAAACCCCTTTTGGAAAGTGCCAGAGAGAGATGAGAACAGAAGAAAACTACAATAGTATCCTGCCCCTCTTAGCTGGAAAGTCTTGGTCCTTCTGTCTGCTTGGAAAATGTACTGGGCTCTATGTCAGGTGGTTGGAGAAACCCACCCAGACTGGGCCTGACACCAGTGCTTCTCATGTTCTCACAGAAGAGTGAGCCTAACCCCTGGGGTTCTGTGCTCAGCGAGCCTGAAGTTTCTTTAAAGTTTCAAGTCCTTTAAATTCCCATGTGCTTTGAATTACTTGTCCTCGGGCCAAACCTGCACCTAGGAGTTTGCTCTGTGTTTGCACTGCACGCATCTGGGTATCCACACTACACTTGGGAAAGCACAACCGTACATTAGAGCTGTGTTCTTTATATCTGTTTATAGTGAATGAAATCCTCTTTTAAGCCCAAACCTAAATTGTGTTAGTAAATCCAGCTTTCTGTATATTGCATCTGCTTAGAGGGGGGCTGCCAACCCTTGTGGAATGGAGAGAACCATGAACCCACAGTATTTTCTGAGTGCCCACAAGGTGTCAAGAGAAATCGCTGAGATTCAAGGTGGCATGAGGTTTCGGAAGCCTCTTGCAGATGGACCCAGTAATAAGGGTGACCCATCTCTGCCCTTTCTCCCCAGATCCCAAGAAGACTCCCAGCCGACCAGGAAGCAGAGCGGGAAGCAAGGCTGGTAGCAGGGCCAGCAGCCGCCGAGGCAGTGATGCGTCAGACTTTGACATTTCAGAAATCCAGTCCGTGTGCTCAGATGTGGAGACTGCCCCCCAAACATACAGACCTTCGCCCCGAGCAAGCTCTCGGCCGTCCACAGCCAAGCCTTCTAAAATCCCTACACCCCAGAGGAAGTCACCGGCCAGCAAATTGGACAAATCCTCAAAAAGATAGTGCCATTGGTTCCACCAAGGCCCTTCCTTAAGCATTTATTATTTAAGTTTTGAAAGATGTAAAATATGATGTAGAAATTATTGTGAAATATTGCAAGAGGTGAGTTTAAAATTCTGCAGATGGCCTTATTTGTGTATTTGTCTTTTTATTTTATCTGTATAATTTTTTGTCAGATACTCTGGGGTTAAAGTCACATTCTATGTGAGGGGAAGGTAGAGTGTAACATGCACTAACATTTCTGCACTGTAACGTCGGGAGCACACACTAAAATCAGTTCCCGTACCTGCAGGTAAGTCCACATCCTCTAAAGCCACAGCCCTATATGGGTAGCTGACGTTAAGGATACCTCATGACTTTTTCTCGCTTTTGTGGAAACTCCGAAATGGGGAAAGACACACACAAGGGAATATGTCAAGATGATTTTAATGTAAACTAAAAGCTGGAGGGCAGAAAGACAGACACATCCACACCCAGTTCTGTGAGTTGTATCTGACAGAGAACTCCCAGGAAGTTACTCGGAAGCACCCACGAGAGCTATGATGGTCAGGACCCTTGCACCATTTCTGTGCCATTTCTTCACGTGAGGCCAGAGGTGTCCTGGACGGTAAACCTATTATACTGTAAAAATATCATTATAAAGTGCATCCATATAACTGTGAGGTTTTCTTTTGCTTGAGTGGACAGTAGCACTTGTATCATTGAACTCATTTTGTATTAAAGCAATTTTTGCTTGCAGAAAGCTATGAAATAAAACATGTTCCTTAACCACATTGCTATGGAATTAATTTTTTTTCCCCCCCAGGGAAAAATCCGTGTATTTTTTTATGAGCAATATCAATTTGGAGTGACCAAAAGATACTTAAAAATGGGTTTATTTTGATTTCTCATCTGAAATAATCATGTTCTGGTATTATATCTATATTTAATAAATATATACATTTTAACTTATTATGTATACTCACTATAGAAAGATATTAGTATGCATTTAATAAAACATATTCACTTGAACATATGGAATACCTGATTATTTAAACTGAATTTTTTTCTGGCTTTTTGTTGTTGTTGTTGTTTAAAATAAAGGTTATATGTATGATGTATTTTACTAATAGTGTTAACAGGCTAAGCTTGGGGATATCAGTGATATGATATTATAATAACTATATAATAAAATTACATGAACTACTCATTCTACAAATCTACACTAATAAAAGAGAGAGATGCAAATTGACCGTACCTCTGTGACGCCCACCAGCCAATTAGGAGTGAGTATGCAAATTAACCCAACAAAGATGGCGGGTTACTTTGCATACACAGGCGCCAAGCGGCCTGGGTCCTGGGTCAGGCGCAAAGCCATGCCCAAAATTAACCCAACAAAGATGGCGGGTTACTTTGCATACGCAGGCGCCAAGCGGCCTGGGTCAGGCGCAAAGCCATGCCTGCAGGCTCCCAGGACCATTGCTGGCTGGGAGTCGAGAGCAGCCACCCAGCTTGACAGCAGACAGCAGGGCCTGCTTGGCCGTCACCAGGGCAACCCAGGAGCTGGCAAGCACGGCCCGCAGGCAGCACCCAGCAGGGCTTGCTTGGCCATCGCCACAGCAACCCAGGAGCAGGGAAGCATGGCCTACAGGTAGCTCCCAGCATGGCTGTCACCACAGCAACCCAGGAGCAGGCAAGTGGGGCCGCAGGCAGCTCCCAGCACTGCCTGCTTGGCTGTAGTCACAGAGACCCAGGAGCAGGGAAGCGTGGCCCACAGGCAGCTCCCAGCATGGCCTGTTTGGCCGTCACTGGGGTGTGGAGCAGGCAGGTCCTGCAGAGAGCAGAGAACCATGGGGAGTGGGCCTAAGCCGTCAGTAGGACATACCCTGAGGGCTCCTGGATTGGAGAGAGTGCAGATCAGGCTGAGGGACAACCCCCCTGCTGTGCACAAATTTGGTGCACCGGGCCTCTAGTAATTGAATAAGTGCCAACCATCTGATAGCCAGGCAGTGGCCCTGAGTCTACAGGGTTCCTGTTCTCTTCTATTCAAGGGGGAAACAGTTAATAAAGAAAGAAATCACCAGAACACATAAGCTGAATACAGGAGATATGTGACAGGGTGACTGATTTTATTACAGTAATATAGTAATATTCTTCTGGACTGTGTACCTTTAAAAAGCAAATGACAGACTTCCTAACTACAAAAAGGATGTCAAATATAACGAGAAGGATGGCAGATTGTTACTTTGGGTATGACAGGTCACGACTTTCCCCATAACTCTGTAAATTTATTTCAGCAAATAGCCATGGTGGTGTTCAGGTTCAAGGGGGTAATATAGGTTCCCTGCATGGCCTTTTTCATGGAGGCAAAGTTGAAGAGTCTGGAATTTCCACAAACAGAAATTAGGTGCCCTTCTTAAGTGATAGTAATTCCTTCTTTCTTGAAAGCATAGGTCTCAAGTGGGAGCCTTGATGGAAAGGGTAATTCTAACCTAAGAGATCACATGTTGTAATTCCTTCATTTGATTATAAGCCTGTCACCCAAGATGGCAGTTGAAATTGTTGTTTTTCCTTTGGTGCTTTGCATGGGATCCCATTTCCATTTCAAAGACAAATGTAAGGGAATGATTTTATCTCAGCCTGTTTGAATGCCACCCCTGTTAAAGAGCTAGGGGTTTTGATTTTTTTTAGTAGTAAAATAATCTTTTGGAGAAAAATAAGTGCTTTAAAAAATATTTCAGAGATGTCTTCGGGAACTGCTACTAGTTAGCAATGGCCCTCGGGAACTTTTCAAATGTAGATGTCTGATACTTGTTTCCTCTTGAGCTAACCCTAGAGCCTCAAGTTTCAGTGAAGGCAACAGACAGTCCTCTTCTTATACACATTCCTCTTTTCCTCTTTTTTATTTTGGTTTTGTTTCCTTCTTGCCTGCCTGCCTTAAAACACACACACAAACAAACACAAATACAGGACATGGGAATGAATCTCAACTCTAAATATCTTAATGTAAAGGCTGGTTCTGTTAAGAGGTAAACAGGCATATTAAACTTATTACGAGTTTGAGAAAAATTGATTGGGATCAGTAGTACCAAACTAGATGTGCTTAGGGACGCACCACCAACTGGAGCTCAGGTACTTTTATAAAGAAGAGGCAGGCCCTAGGTGGTTTGCTCAGTGGATAGAGCATCAGCCTGTAGACTGAAGGGTCCTGGGTTCGATTCTAGACAAGGGCACAGGCCCGGGTTGTGGGCTCGATCCTCAGTAGGGGACATGCAGGAGGCAGCTGATTAATGACTCTCTCATTGATGTTTCTATCTCCCTCTCCCTTCCTCTCTGAAATCAATAAAAATATAAAATAAAAATTTAAAAAAAGAAAAGGCAGAAGGCCAGGCCAATGAGGTTCAGTGATTGAGCATCAACCTATGAACCAGGAGGTCACGGTTCAATTCCCAGTCAGGGCACATGCCTGGGTTGTGGGCTGGATCCCCAATGTGAACTGTGCATGAAGCAGCCAATCAATGATTCTCTCATCATTGATGTTTCAATCTCTCTCCCTTCCTCTCTGAAATCAATACAAAATATATTAAAAATAAAGAAAAGGCAGAGAAGCAAAGCAAGGAAATATGGGTGGGCTACAGCTTACAGCCTAGTTGGCTGGCTGTGCTTGCTTATCCTTGGTGTTTGGTTTTGTAACCTTGAGGCATCCGCAGGCTGAGGTTTGGGTTTGCTTTTGTAGCCTGTACAGTCCGCCATGCCTTGGAGCCCCCTCTGTCTAGTAGCCTCCTTGTTTCATGAACAGTTCCAGGTTTAAAGTCCTCCACTGTGGCCACAATTATCTTTGGTAAGATTCACCTAGCTGTTCAGCTTTAAGACAAAATGTTATTCACCCGAAGCCTGGCACTGACCCCAGTCTGGTTTCCAAGTCGGCCCCTGTCCGCCCGCGGACCCAGCCCGACTCTGGCTGACTTCCGGACCCAGACCGGAAACAGAAATGCCCAGGTGAAGTCTGAGCGTGTAAGTCTCCAGACCGGAAACAGAAATGCCCAGGTGAAGTCTGAGCCTGTAAGGCTGAGACTGCGGAGCGGGGAGCCCCCAGACCTGCCGCCGCCGCCACCTCCAGAGGCCGCGCGGGAGAGCAGGTACCGCGCCTGGTTGCGCCTTGCTCCCGGGAAGTCAGCAGCCTCCTTCGCGTTCCTCTCCTAGCACCATAACTGTCAAGGGACAAACTGAGGCCTATTAAACATTTTCAGAGCTTATTTGAGGCCGTGTTCCCCTGACCTGACTGGCGCTGGAAAGAGGCTTTTATTGGAGGCTGAAGCAAAGTAAGGAAATGATTGGCCACAGTTTGAAGCCTGGTTGGCTGCTTATGATTGGTTCTCCTTAGAGTTTTGATTTCATAACCTTGAGGCATTTATAGGCTTAGGTTTGGGGTCCCCCCCCTCCTAATGGCCTTCTTGTTTAATTAAGTTCTTAATCATTAGGGAGGCACGTTGGATCACGAAGTAGACTTCTTTGACTTAAAAAAACAAAACTAATTCTTATGTATTGCTACCTTCTTTTGAACTAACAGAGCTTCCTCTCTGATATCCGTGCAGAAGTAGATGGACGTGGCCCACTCTCAGGTCTGGTTCCTTTTAGGCAAATCTGGGTGGAAGGGCCCAGGTTGGCCCTGGGGAGATTGACCTGTGAACATGAAAAGGAGAGTTTAGGAGAGGATCTTGTTGCCTTTTTTTTGGTCATTTTAATATTTGCTATAAATATTTGCAACAAGGGAAATTATAATGAGTTGCAGTTTTACTCCTTTTTGACAAGGTGCCTTGAAATGCACGTGCTTTATCGTCAAATGTGTGATCTGATGCCATCCAACAGAACATTTGCTAGTCCCCAAGCTACTGTGTGTGTCTGATGACCCTGCCTTAGACTCTACCTTCTATGCCAGTGGTCTCCAGACTCCTTGATGGCATATTTCCCAATAAAAGTTTTTTTAGAAAACACTTCCTATGAATGTATATTCATTTCTTCTAAGTTACTATTTGCACATGTTTTATCATGAGTTAATTTCTCAAGGCTCAGTATAGTCCTGGGGTGAGATTTATCTTTAAAAACATTGGTGATGGTGTACAGACAAATTTCAAAGAGTTTTTAATGCATTTTTGGCCAAGTTTGTATCACATCTGACAAGATCCACCCTGTTTTAACTCACGATGTGGCTGATGAAGGGCTCGTCCTAGCAGTGTCATCTCTGTCATTTTTCTTACTTGTTCCTTGCTTTGTAAGATCTTAAATCCATATTGGTTTTTTTTCTAAATTTTGCAGGACTCACGATGTGGCTGATGAAGGGCTCGTCCTAGCAGTGCCATCTCTGTCATTTTCTTACTTGTTTCTTGCTTTGTAAGATCTTAAATCCATATTGTTTTTTTTCTAAATTTTGCAGGGATTCATATAAGCCATATATGGTAAAGCTTATTCATCACAAAGAGATAAAATATGTCATTTCGCCCAACTTGATGTAGATAAACTGCAGTCTACTGTACATATTGAAAGCAAACCAGGTGTCAGGGAGCTATTGGGATGCCCACTCTCTCCTCAGGTCACCTCAGACACTGACCATGAGAGGACGCCGTGGAGGTCACCAAAGGACAGGCACCAGCGTCAGTCTGTAGTAAATGTATGTGAAGGTTAATTTCCTCCTCCTCCTTTTAGATGAAACGTAAATATAAATAGACATCTTACTTCCTTAACTGTTAAATCACTGTTCTACACTATTTTCTTCTTTCTACCTTTTCTCAGCCATCTTTTTCCACAGGAGAGAAGAATGCAATAAAGTTTCTTTCCCCTCTGCTCCTAGTTATGCAAGGGTGCACACCTGTGCTAGTGGTTTTATGTAATCGCAGGCATACCTCATTTTATTGTGCTTTGCTTCATCGTGCCTCACGGGTGTTGTGTTTTCTTCGAAATTGAAGGCAAGACCCTCCACCACCAAAAAGATCCTGATTCGTTTTATTGTGATACTCGCTTTACTACAGTGGTCTGGACCTGAACTTGCAATATCTTTAAGGTGTGCCTGTGTAGTCCTGGTTAGCTATTCTCCAAAAACTCAGGGTGGAGGGGGGACACATGCCAGTATTCCTGAAGCCACAGTTTTCTGGCTCTTGTTACCTCTCACTTGTGCTTCTATAATGACTACCTGTTTATCTCCTCATTTTCAAAGTCTACTCTAGACATCAATTTGGAGGAATTGAACTCAAGGGGAGAGACATGCCTTTGACACGAAGGACTGGGAAGAAAGGGTGATTAAGGTGGGACAAGGGAAGTTGAGGAAATTACCCAGCAGTGACTTAACTTCTGTCAGCAAAGTAGATGTGCCCTGCTTGGAGTTAAGGAGAAGGTTATAGGCTAAGGTATTTGAGTTGAACAGAGAACGTTTGAAAGAGCTGAGTCCTTGGGTTTATAGTTACCCTGATCTATAGGGTGCAGCCTGGTGTAGGAACAGAGAGGACAAGAAGTTCATTAATCTAGAGCTTGGGTTTTTCTAGCCAGGCTTAAAAGAAAGCCAGAGATATGAGCAATGGAAAGAAGCAGAGGGTGAATGATGGGCTGTTACCTCAGAATCAGGGGTTAGGTACTACAAGGGTTTGGGAGGAGAGCACACTGTGGGAGGGAGTTTGAATCAGGGTGGTAGAAGGCTAGGGGAGTCTGGATGAGCATGCAGGAGCGGGTGTGTTACCAAGAGTGACATATTTAGGACATTGTCTAAGGATTGCAAGAATGAGAATTTTCATGGCCTCATTAGTTTGTTAAAAATTAGTCTCAGCTGTTCCAAGTCTTCATTAATTTGTATGGTGCTTATAGCAGAATCTGCATGGGAGAGCAATAGTCATCTCCTAGAGCGGGGGAGAAGGTGGAGGAGGCTGCCTTTCAGCTGGGATTGGTTATGCTTCAAAGCCCCAAGTAGGCTGATGTGTGTGTGTATATGTGTGTATAGCTGTGGCTCTTCAAGAAGGCAGGAGTCTCAGGCTTCCAGAGTATGCAATGTTGATATATACTTAGTAGATCTAGTTGTTGGCATGAGTTAAAAATAGATTACCACAAAAACTACATTTTTGAAAGGAGGACCAACCAGGTAGAAAAACGGACACGGTTAGGTTTTTAATTACTAGTGTAGAACAGTTTGTTTCAAAAATAACCAGTTAGTGAACATAAGTTCTGGTCAACAATTTAGTCACATTATACCTGCTTGAGAATTGACCGGTGAATTCAGGGAAACAGCAGGTTTGAAGCAATGTTTCAGATCTAAACCATAGACTTTACAATGCCTATCCAACCATGGGTTACTTTGGGGTTGCTTCTCCCAAGGAACCTTATGCTTCTTTAGGTACTTGATTATGCCCATATTGATTTTTGTCTCAGTTTGGGTTTATAAAGCTCCTAACATAAATACACGGTGTCCCAAAAATGTTTACACACTTTGAATAATTGTTAATTCCAATGGGTTAAATTTGAAAAGAAACATCAGTTGAGCTATTAAAAATGTATGTGTATACTTTTTTGAGACAACCTGTTATTTATATACTAGAGGCCTGGTGCACGAATTTGTGCACGG